CGCCCCCCGCCAGGTGAGGGCTGCTGGGTCCTTTCTTCCCCTCCCTTCCACCCCCTGTGTAGGCCGCAGGGGACAAAGGCCTTTCCGCCATGCCGAGGTTGGGGGTGACGCACCGGGGTGGGGGTAACGGGCATTGGGGGTGAGGAAGGGGGTGGCCCGGCTGCTTTGAGCTCGGTTAGCGGAGCGGGGGTAGGCGCTTGGCGGGGATGGAAGTGGATCTTAGCGCTCGCTAGGCCGCAGGGCCTGGCCATCCAGTGCCTGAGCGTTAAGGCCCTATTTAATCATCTCCTTTCAGGTTATATCTCGTTTCCCGTGAAATCACAGAATGGTGGGGGTGGGAGGGCGCCCCGCAGGTTGGAAAGGACCTCAGGAGATCATCTAGTCCAACCCCCCTGACAAAGCAGGTCCTCTACACCAGGTTGCACAAGAAAGTGTCCATTTGGGTTTTGAACATCTCCAGAGATGGAGACTCCACAACCTCTCTGAGCAGCTTATTCCAGCACGGTCCTTTGCAGTGTGGGGTGCAGCTAGTCTTCAAAATAAACAGCCAAAAAGAAACCCATAAGCCTCACCCTGTTGTGCATAAATCACTCACCAGAACATTGAGTTCTTGCCATCCACATGCAGGGTGTAACGAGGAGGAACTGCAGACGCCAGGAACTTTCAAGGACACGTTGAATAAGGCTTTGAGCAATCTGGTCTAGTGGAAGGTGTCCCTGCTGATGGCAGAGGGGTTGAAAATGGATGAGCTTTAAGGTCCCTACCAACCCACACCATTCTGTGCTTGTTCCCTGCAATCAGGTGGCCTTGAGTGTGAAGTGATTATGTGACATTTCTCTTTATCTCCTTGCAGTCGGGCACCACAAATGAGAGCTGCACCACCAGCACCTCCTGCTCAGGCATCTGTCCCAGCAGCAGCACCAGCTTCTGCTGTGGCTGCTCCTGCACCAAAGCAGCCTGGTCTGATGGCACAGATGGCTACAACTGCTGCTGGAGTTGCTGTAGGCTCTGCTGTAGGTCATACCATAGGTCATGCGCTGACAGGAGGATTTGGTGGAGGAAGCAGCTCTGAAGCTGCAAGGCCTGATATTACTTACCAGGTAAGAGAAAGCACAGCTGGACACTGACTAGTGAAGCACAGTTCATTTGAGACATCAGTTACGTATAGGCTGATGTAACTGCTATAGACACAAAGACCACACAAATCATGGTGGGGAAAACTGGGGTAACTTTAGTGACTTAGTCTCCAAGGTAACTATGGAGTAGTCACACAATCACCATGAATATCCTGAAAGTAGTTTGAAGAGATGCACGAGTGATACATGCATTTGGTAATGTTGTAGTACCCCTCTGATTCAGACAGGACTTCCTTGTTCCAGGTCTGATCTATTGCAAGACCTTTTTGTGCTGCTCAAACATTAATATAATGCTGTTAGCTTGCCCAGATGCTATCCAGAGTTATCCAAGTGTTTGTAACTTACAAAACTGTTCAGAATTTGTCATGTCACTGCTGGAAGCTATTTCATATTTCAACCCATTATTTGTTTTCCATTTAAAAAGTAACACAACATTTTGACTAAAATGCAGGGAAGAAATACACAGGCAGCAGTACTGGGGTGGTGTGGCTTCCTCAGCTGGAGCTGTTGAAAGGGTGCTTACGGAGGTGTCTGCTGTTTCAGGAGCCCCAGGCAGCTCAGCCTGCCTACCAGCAGCAGCAGCAGTTTGCTCCTTGCCAGTACGAAATGAAACAGTTCCTGGAGTGCGCGCAGAACCAGACCGACCTCAAGCTGTGCGAGGGCTTCAGTGAAGTACTGAAGCAGTGCAGGTTTGCTAATGGTAAGTAGACAGTGCTACCAGACCACTGCTAAGTGAGCTAATTGGTCAAGTGATGGTGGGAATGTCCCTGGTTTTTTATCTCATCTGATAAAGAATGGGGATAGATACAGAGCATGTACACTGAAGTCAGTTAAGGCTAGCTGCTGCTGTTGTGTTTGGCTTCCCATTTTGGTCCTGTATATGTAGTTGGAGGTGATGGGGTGGAGAGAGGATGAATTCCCAAAACTTTTCTGCTGGGCCATGGACTGAAGCTGACAGTTTGGGATAGTGGTGGCAGCAAACTTGGAGAATCAGCATAGCATTGCTGGCCTGTAGCAAGTGCCTGTTTCTCACAACTGACAAACCATCCTCACAGGGGAGAAAGGAGACTGCCAAACACTGATGTCTGCATAGACTGCTGAAGTCTGCAGTCAACACATCCCAATAAATAAATGAGGGGAGAGGGAACACCCTAACATACATCTGCTTTACAGCAAGGAAGACCACCTCCCATTTAGGGATCCAAAACTTAATGTGATTAACTGTGATAATTTCTTACCTTTCAGGTTTAGCCTAAGCCTCCAGAACAAGGTTGCTGAAGACCACCTTACAAGAACTGACCTGTGAATGAAAAAAAAAGCTTCAGTAATAAAGTCTAAAGCTGATATCTTGTTAGTTGATATATTCACACTATCATCCTCCTCATGGCTTGATTCCTGCCATAGCCGCTACAGATGCGATACAACTTACAGCAGCAAATTAATTTAGCACAAAATGGAAGAATGAACAATAAAACAGAATGAGCTAATTTGTGTTAACCAGTTTGCTGATTGTTGTGTTGAATGTAAGTGATATGGTGTACAAATAAACTTCTCTCTAGAAGTACCTTGCTTTAGTGGACTTTGGAGTTGAGTCTGAAGGGTGAGCAGGTGAGAAGTGATTTTGGCAGAGTGGTGTGTCTGCTGCCCTGCCTGGAGTGGTTCCTGGGGGGCTGGAACTACAGTTCAGGAACACCCATAGCTTGGTGGTGAGCTGTGCTTGCCAGACATCTCCTGCTGCAGCATTTGAACCCCACAGACAAATTAAAAGGTGTAGCGATAAGGAAGTTGTGTGTTTAAAAACAGTATATTCAGATTCAATAAATTCTGAGAAATATCTTCCCTCTGTCAAGCAGCTGTGCACTTCTGAGATCGTACAGTCTTACATCAGACTCACAGCTCCCAATAACATGAGCCCTGGCTGTAGGTTTTTCTTCCTCTATCTTGTGACAGGAGCGTTGGACTGAAACACGAGAAGGTGTCCAGCTGACGGTGGTGTGGCCTTTGCGTGCTTGGCTTACCCAAGTGACAAAGCTACTGCTCCCAAGTGAAAGAAAAAAACCAAGAATCTCAATTTTAAAAGTATTTACTGATGCAAAGTGCAAACCTTCCTTTTTCCATCAGAGGGAGCAGGTCATGCCCGGATAAAATCCCTGGTGCCTGCAGAGCAAATACCCTCTTGCACTTCGCGTACTCACACCGAAGAGTGTGGTGGGAAGTAACCTTGCACCAAAAAAATACAATTCCTGTTAAAAATACTTTCATAGCATGACCTGTTTTTCCCGCACAGCTTTTATGCTGTTGTGCATTCTGCCTGCTCCTAAAACCCCTCGTCTCTGATCTGCAATTCCTGGAAGTGAAAAGATTAAAGCAGTAAAGTTAAAATGGGGAAGGGTTACCTCGAACATGGGGGGATGAGGACACAACTACTTCCCTGGTGACAGAAGCTTCGCTTCCTG